CTATATGGTGGAGATTAAAATCAAAATTTTAATAAATTTTTATAAAAGTTAAATAGTTATGGATTTTATGAAATATATTATTAAAATTAATTGTTAACTTTGATTTAGATTAAAATTTAGATTTCAATCGATATCAAACACGATTTTATTAAAAAATAATAATAATAATAATTCTCAAAAGTTGGGGTGGGGGGACACTTGCCCCCCAAGACCACCCCTAGGTCCGTCCATGTTCATGTACACTTAAACAAACCGTTAAAAGGCTGTAGCTTTCTTTGGTTATGAAAGAGGCGGTCGTGAGCACTTTGACAATAAAGTCAATCAACTTATATTTGGATGTGGGATAAACGAAAGATGTGAGCCACAAGTATGTACAAACATCGAATTCCAAAGAGAAATAATAAGAGTGTTTGATAAGTGCATTTTACACACTTATTTAGATCACGAAACATGGATAGTTGTTGGCAAATATATTGAAATATGATTTAATTCTATATAAATTATGTTTTGTAGAATAACATTGATGGACATGGTGGAATTTAGAAAAAATAAGTGAAAAATGACTAAAATGGAATAAAACCAAAGGTTTAGGGATCAAAGTGCAAATAGTCAAAAGACGACGTAGAAGAAACGAAGATGTTAAAGAGTCAAAGACCAATTTAATGAAGACATGAAGTACTAGAAGTAGAAGAAGTAAGAAAAGAGATTGGGAAACGAGAAAATAGAGTTCGGAGACCAAAACATAAAGAATGAAATTCTACTTGAACTATGCTATAACATAGTTCTTTTAGCCATGCGATCGCATGGTGTGATGCAGGGTCTTCCGAAGCTAAAATTGGTTGAACTACGCTATAGCATGAAAATGTACCGCTATGCTCTATGTGAATCTTTAAGTGTTCATAAAAAATCGTGAACTCTTGTATGTTTGCATCCATCATAGAAATATAGTCGAGTTATATATGAGAATATGTTTAACATTACTCGAGAGAGGTTGTTAAATAAAATAGGAACATTGGTTCGTCAAAATTCAATCATGTTGTCAAAGTGTAAAACTAAGATTAAAAATGATTATTGCATGAGAATTCGGAATATCCTGGTGCATTTGTCATTTATTAAACACATCAATTTGTATTTAACATAAATTGTATTTAGTTTAGTTAANGAGTTCCAAACCTTTATGCATGCACCTCCGTACAAGTTCCGGCCAGGATGATTGGGAAAGATCAAACCAATTTGAATCGCTCACATCACAGTAGTAGTAGCGTAAATGTCGTAAGTCGAGGGGCGGCCATGACATATGGCTATTACTTTCACACTAAATCAATCTCTGTTGGACGATATTTGGATTCAAATCCACTTTATTACTTGTTAACGAATCGTACACTTGTGATTGTTTTAATTCGAAAGGTATTTTCGTGAACAAACAATATTACTATTACGAATGTAAAATTGCATCACTTGCAAATGACACTAAATGTGAGCTTTTATAATAGAAAAGGTAAATTAGTTATCATAGGATGAAATACACGTGACCTCATATTCACAGTCGAGGAGTCTCCTATAACTGAAAAATGGTCATCCTATAGCCTATGTTTGATGTCTAAGAAGTGAATTAGCAAGTTGATTGAGGAACGACTTCTGTAGAGTGATCGCATCAATCAATCACATAAGATCTTGTACGGAATATATCTTTGTAGGAGGCAAAGCAAGAAAATGCCTTCGTATGTTTAGAGGCTAATCGATTTGGAATTGCACTGTAGCAAGTCGTAGCACCTCGTCTCGTCCGTGGAGGGTCGATCTTTATATTACACCTCAACAGAGGTGATGCATTACTTTGACTACCTATGTTTGATGGTCTTAACTGGCTAGATACGATAATAATGTGGAGTGTATATTTAAGTTGGTTCATTAACTGGTTTTCACGTAGGCAATGACCGAAGCCAGACGCAAAAATTGTTGTTCATGAAAATAAAAAATTTGTACATAAATCTAGGTATTGTGAATTCCACTTGGAAAACAGAAAGTGGGATGCTGTTAGTAGGGATGCTGGATGAAACTAGCCTTTTGTATTATTTAAGTCTCTTCTTTCCCTATGCTTGTCTTTTTCTCCAATAAACAAGTTCATCCCTTGTCAGCCATTATCTCCCTCTTCCTTTGTGTTGGCAATTTTTAAAATTGGCCGGCCCCCTATAGCAATGAGTACCGGGCCCGGTTAATATCTAATCTAGCTATATAAAGAAAAACCTGCAGCGCATGCTGTAATATGACATAGGCACCCGTGATTAGACACCACACCGAAAATTTCTTGAGAATTCTTCGTCCCCAACTGCAATTTTACAAGATAATTGACAAAAATTTCTTTGCTTTGGGGGCGGAGCCATAACATAAAATTAGTAGAGGTCTAAATAAGAAAAAAAAAATTCAAGACATTAAATATAATAATGTTAATTAATATAAATTTTTTTAAAACATATTTCAACGGGAATGTTAATGTTCTAAAAAACGTAAAACGTGATTAAATATAAAGATCAAGCTTCAAACTTCACAAACCTAAACGAGACCTAGACATAAAAATAGTGACTTATTTTTATTATTAAATACTTAATATAAAATACTATATTTAATTAATAATTCCTACAATTAATCAATTATACAATTTTGCACGTTTTCGAAATGCAAAAATTAGACTATTTTTCATAATTTTAACTTTCAATTAGACAAGTTCTACTTAACATATTTTATAGAAACTTCATACATACTTTTGAAATTTTTAGCAAAATGATAAATCTCAAAATCATAATTACATAATATACAGAGTACCGTAATTTAAATCTTACCTCATTTTTTATTGGATAAAAACATTTTTGACTTTTGTACATATAATGTCATTTAGAAATTTAAAACTAAAGTCAAATAAGCCTTTCAAAAAAAGGAAAAAAAAAAAATCAAAAGTTAATAAATTAAAGTCAAATAAAAGATTAAAAAAAAAGAAATATAAAAAAAAATTAATAAAGTGTTTCTAATTTAATTGAAAACCTCTCTCTATGGTTATCAAATATATTCCCTCCATATGACCCTGCTATCTCTCTATGAAAGATGCAAACAATATAAATGCATTAAACTGTCTATAACACCTAAGGAAACATGTAAAGCGTGGATATATATCTCTATCCTCTATCGAATTTTACAATATTGTTTATTTTTTGCTAAAAGCTTATTATCTCTCTCGATAATAATAAATTCTAATAAATCATCTCAATTAGTAATTAATTAATTGAAAAGTCGGTGAAAACAATATAAACATTCAAGACGTCAAAATATTTAATTAATATTAAAAATTTCAAAATAAAGATTCATCTCATCCTAACAATGTATAAAACTAGCATAACAT